AAAAAACAAATTGCAAGTCATTGCAGTGTGGTATTTATTTTCAGGGTTTCCCCTTGCCCCACACTGATATTTAAAGTTGAAACATTCTTGACCTTGGGAAGATGAACCAGGTACCCCAGGCCCAGTTCATTGGGGAGGCCCAGGAAGGGCACATATCAGAGTTCTGGTGATGTGGAAGGAAACGAGACAAAGAGGAGTCAGGATGAAGAGACATGGCAAAATATATTTTTCTCTTAAAGCTTTTTGATAGGGTAGAATACTAAAAGTACAGTCATAAATATGGTAGGTTATCAAAGCGGAATGACTTTTTCGACTGAACATTTGTGTTTTTATTTCTTATCTTACAGCTTATTGACTTCCATAGCCCATTGGCTCCTAACGTGAGAAACGCAGAGTAGTTTAGGGATTTTCCCAGTGTATAATGGGGAAACCGAGTAGAAGTCCTCCACCTTTCAGGTCAGTGCCCATGTATTTAAGGGCTTGGACACATAGAAGGCTGTCTGCCGCCCTCAGGAGAGCATGCCTGTCTGCTGGGAACGCTCAAGGCCCTTTGCTGCTAGACAAGTGGTAGTTGCTCATATAGGGCTCTCTAGTAATAATAATGTATGGAATTTTTATATAATGTACATTTTATTTGTATTTTCCTTTGGATTAAAGTTTAAAATTTCGTAATGCTGTCTTTTGTATTTAACAATAAATCGCTTCATTGCTGTTTTTTGTATTTGATATTTACCACTCAAGGAACAACAGCTAAAAAAGATCACTGCAAAACAAAAACGTCTTCAGGCCATCCTTGGAGGAGCGGAGGTGAAAGTTGAATTAGATCATGCCAGTCTGGAGGAGGAGGATGCAGGTGAGGATGCTGGGAACAGTTTCTCTGTGTTCTTGAATAGATGCCTGATATCTGTAGTCAGTGGACCGTGTCCCTTTAGTCTTTGCCTGGGTTTTGAGAAAAACACACTTCTTTGCCTCAGTGTCAAAACAGATTTAGGGAAATTCTGTTCTCTACATCTGCAGAGCCAACTCCCATTCGAAGAGAATGAAAGTAAATTTTAACTCAGCTCACTGGAGGCTGCTGGTACACATTTATTTTTACATTTAATACACTGGAAATCTTAAATGTTCTTATATTGTTAATTTGATAAAGACAAGTAACATCATGATTACTTTACATGTTGGAAGCCCAACATCATCAATTCGCATTTATAGAATGGTTCTCGCATATCTTTTAGGAGTGTTTTTGGCAAGCTTTCCAAACATCAGTTCTGTTGTTTAAGAAAAGACATCTTTTTCAGGTTATACTATGGCCAGTATTTCATTTGGCCATTACTGTCTTGGATGGTTATCTTTTGGAAAACCTTTTGGGAAAATTCGTAAGCTCTGGAACTAAATTATCTTTGCAGTCATTTGTGTGTGTGTGTGTGTGTGTGTTTGTGTGTTTGTGTATGTATGTAAATAGAAGTTGTTGGTGGCTGTTTGGTCATTGACTACTTGAAATATAGATTAAAGCTGTTTAGGATTAAATTTTCTAAGCAACTATTTTCTACCAGCTTTAGAAGTTTATTCAGTAAGATGAGAATTGTTACAAAGAATTAATTGAGGCAATAGAAAAAATATCAGAAAAATACGTTTTTTTTTTTTCTTTTTTTATTGAGATGGAGTTTCATTCTTGTTGCCCAAGCTGAAGTGCAATGGCACTATCTCGGCTCACTGATTCAAGCAATTTATCTGCCTCAGCCTCCCAAGTAGCTGAGAATACAGGTGTGTACCACCACCCCTGGCTAATTTTTTGTATTTTTAGTAGAAACGGGGTTTCACCATGTTAGCCAGGCTGGTTGGTCTCAAACTCCTGAGCTTAGGTGATCTGCTTGCCTTGGCCTCCCAAAGTGCTGGGATTACAGGCATGAGCCACTGCTCCAGGCCCAAAAATACGTGGTTTTAAAATTCAGGCTCTCAGAATTCATTAAGCCTATGACCAGTTCTTTTGACTGCTGTGTACTGTGTTTCTCATTGGTAACAGATATTTGTTCCTGTCTGGCTGTTACTGTCTTTCATCTCCTACTGTGACTTTGGTAGTAGGGTTAATAGTTACATTGTCTAGGGTTAATAGCTACCTCCTCAAATCCAAGAGCCCCTTTTTATCGTTGGTCACTCTGCCTGTCTATAGCAGCTGACACTTCTGTTCCTTCTGAGATCCCTGCTTCTCTCCTGGTTTTCTTTTTGGGCCGCTGACTACTTCTGCATAGTTATTTCTGGCCTTATCTTAGATGTTGATGTTTCTCAGGATTTCTCTGAGCCCTCTTGTTGTTCTGCTGCCTCTCCTTGAATAATATTATCTATTTCTGTGGCTTTTGTAGCCACCTAGGTTCTTCTAGTATCTTATACAGATCTGTAGATGTCTGGTTTTGCCTTTTTTTGAGCTCCTAGTTCCTATTATATCTCTCTGTCTGGACACCAGCCAACACTTGAGAATTGAGGCAAAATACTCAGTGAAGGAAAAGATTTGTTAAATGGACTTTAGATAAAACCAAGAACTTCTGTTCATCAGAAGATAGCATTTAGAGAGTGAAAAGGCAAGATACTGAGCTGGAGAAGATATTTGCCATACATGTGTGAATCAAAGGACTGAAATCTAGAATGTATAAAGAACTCCTAGAAATCATTTTAAAAAATAGACAAAGAAGGGCAAAAGACTTGAACACTTTCTACACAAAAGAGGCTGTCCAAAAGATAAATTCATGAAAGGTACTTCTTTTGTTAGTCATCAGGGAAATGTAAATTATAGCCACAATGTGGTACCAGTATACATCTACCAGCATAGCTAATGTGGAATGGCAAGAACATGCACTAGTTGGAACTTTGGAAGGTAACACTTTGGAAAACTGACAGTGTCTACTAAAGCTTAGCATACCCAGAGAATTATTTATTTGTCTATACATGTTACCAAAAGATCAGAATATTCATAATAACATTATTTGTAGTGGCCAAAACCTGGAAGCCACTCAAATGTGCATTAACAGTGACAGTTAACAAACCACAGCTACATTCAACAGTGACTATGCAGGCCAAAAGCATTATGTTATGTGAAGGAAGGTGGACACAACACAGACATTTCCACTTACATAGCATTCAGAGACAGGCACAACTTGTCTATATGTTAGGAGTCAGGTCCATCATTATCTTGGGGGTGGGTATAGAGGCTGGGAGGTGGCCTGAAGGGCTCATCTGGTGGTGCTAGTAATTTCTTTTACTTGATATGGGTGCTAGTTTATGAGTATACTTTTTTTTCTGAATATTCACTGGGCTCTACACTTTAATAATTTGTGCACTTTCAGATGTATATTTTATTTCGGTGCAAGTTTAATGAAAAACTAGGTATCATTGGCCTAAAGAATCGTACATTTTAGAATATGGATTCCTTTCTATTAAGCCTTAGGTCTTTTGGTATTTTGGTTATGTGGTAACTTTGCTGGAGATGAATTTCAACTAATGAAAGAGGGATTCTTTCTGGGTGACTTTACACTTAACGGCGTAACTTCCAATTTTAGTTCATATCTTCAAGTCAGTTAACTTCACATATCTGGTGCTGCTGTCCAATAGACCTTTTTCGCAGTGATGAAAATGTTCTCTGTATTGTCCATTTTAGTAGCCATTAGTCACGTGTAGCTCTTGAGCACTTGAAAAAGGGCAAGTGCAGCTATGGAACTGAATTTTTAACTTAATGTAATTTAAATTTAAATAGCTACAGGCGACTGGTAACTGCCATGCTGGGCAACGTAGAACTGACATTTATGTTTTTCCTATTTAGGCATGGTCCCTCAGATGCCTGTTTTCGGTTTTACTGTCTCTTGAATTTAAGTCCATCTGAGTGTTGGTTTTAGCAATGATGTGGGAACTTTGGAGCTTCCTTCCTCATGGGCTATTCCTCAGCTGATAAGGAAACACAGCTAAACTTGTTTATTTATAACTCTATGGAGTAATAAGCCTATTCTTGGATGGCAGAGAATACAGTGAAATATTTTGGAGGAAAGTTACCGAGAAGTTATATTTTTGAATGGGAATATATTAAATATAGCATGATGCTATAATACATTTTATTCTGTCCTTCATGTGTAACATGCTTTAGTACATAGATTTTTTTTTTTTATATGAGTTGTAGGGGCCTAGTATTTCTTGAAAGAGTGAGCATTTCTTTTGTACTCTGGGAAAGTTTCATGCTAGTGTGAAACACGTTGCTATTGTTCTTTCAGAGCCGGGGCCATCCAGTCTCGGCAGCATGCTCATGCCTGTCCAGGAGACTGCCTGGGAAGAGCTCATTCGCACTGGCCAGATGACACCTTTTGGTACCCAGATCCCTCAGAAACAGGAGAAAAAGCCCAGAAAAATCATGCTCAATGAAGCATCAGGCTTTGAAAAGTATTTGGCAGATCAAGCAAAACTGTCTTTTGAAAGGAAGAAGCAAGCTTGTAATAAAAGAGCAGCTAGAAAAGCTCCAGCTCCAGTCATTTCTCCGGCCCCAATGCAAAATGAAAACAAACCAAACAAGAAAACCAAACTTCTATTGAAAAAAGAGGAGCGTTTGAAAAAGCACATCAAGAAACTCCAGAAGAGGGCTCTGCAGTTCCAGGGGAAGGTGGGATTGCCAAAGACAAGGAGACCTTGGGAGTCAGACATGAGGCCACAGGCAGAGGGAGACTCAGAGGGTGAAGAGTCTGAGTACTTCCCCACAGAGGAGGAGGAAGATGATGAGGTGGAGGGGGTGGAGGCAGACCTGTCTGGAGATGGTACTGACTATGAACTGAAGTCTCTGCCCAAGGGCCGGAAATGGCAGAAGAAAGTCCCAGTGCAGGAGATTGATGATGACCTTTTCCTCAGTTCTGGAGAAGAAGCTGAAACTTCTGTAGGAGGAGGAGGAGGAGGAGGAGGGCGGAAAGTAGGGAGATATCGAGATGATGGAGATGAAGATTATTACAAGTGGCGGTTAAGGTCAGTCTGCAGGGATCATAAATACATTGTACTGTTTTCTTTATCTTAGGTGACAGGTTTATTACTGTGTAAACATTCTAGATGCAGCTTAATATATTAGATCCCTGAGTATGCAGAGGTTGGATTTCTTCTAGCCTTAACCTGCTGGAAGCAGTAGGGCCCCTAAGTCCTTAAAGGAGCTGTCCCCGCATGCATGTACTTCTAGGTCTTTTTTTTTTTTTTTTTTTGAGATAGAGTCTCCCTCTGTCTCCAGGCTGGAGTGCAGTGGCACAATCTCGGCTCACTGCAACCTCTGCCTCCTGGATTCAAGCGATTCTCCTACCTCAGCCTCCCGAGTAGCAGGGACTACTGGCTACTCGCCATCATGCCCAGCTAATGTTTTTGTATTTTTAGTAGAAATGGGGTTTCACCATGTTGGCCAGGATAGTCTCGATTCCTTGACCTTGTGGTCTGCCTGCCTCAACCTCCCAAAGTGCTGTGATTATAGGCGTGAGCCACTGCACCTAGCATACTTCTAGTTCTTTAGTTGGATTTGGAGGCAAGTCTAAGATGAAAAACTTAAGGGAAAGAAAAAGAACTATTGTTCTTTCAGAGCCAGGGCCATCCAGTCTCGGCAGCATGCTCATGCCTGTCCCGGAGGCTGCCTGGGAAGAGCTCATTTGCACTGGCCAGATGACACCTTTGTCAAGAGGCATGCAGAGGGCTGAGTGTGAGCTGTGTCTCCTTCATATCAGCCTTCACTCTGGAATAAGTGTCAGGAAAAAGAAAAGGGTGAATTATGTCATGCATACTGGATAGGGGTTTCTGTTTTCCCTTTTGAAGCAGGAAAGTAACTTTGGAGAACCCTTTTCCAAAAAAGAGCTGAAACTTAAGCTTTGACATAAAAAGAATAAGCTTACTTTTGTAAATCCTTCCTTTGCCTTGAGGAAATAGTCATCTGCATAATTATAAATGGCCATCATGTGAAAACTGTATTTCGTATGCACAGCATACCTTTCTTTTCATTGTTGTTTTTCTATGCTATAGGCTGACTTTGGCTTTTAGCTCCATGACTTTGTCAGTGTAAGTAACATAAAAGGGAAGGTGAACATGTGAAACATGAAGTCTGAATTGCATATTGCCACGCATTTTCTATGAGCCAGGAAAACTAATCTGTGCGTCGCAGGCCTCCCCACGGTGGCCCACTGAGCACGGTATACTGCCATGCATTTCAAGTCTGCATTAGCTCACTTAGCTCTAAGGAAGTCAAAGGGAAAAAGGAACCGTATTACTTTTAAAATACTTGACAGTGGGATGACTTTTTCCCAATCCTCAACAGTTTTCTCAAGGTGAGGAGACCTAGTTTGTTGTATTTATTGGCCTTCATGAGTGAAGGTTGACCTGGTGGTTTTCTTGTTACTTAGAACTGCTTGTTACCCCTGTCCAGACACTACACACATTCCATAACCTTTCCAAAATAGATGCATCAGAGTTCTTTTAAAGAATAATCCGAGGACCTGTGACTTAAATCCTGTTTAGAGCCGTGACATTCATGTTCTTGCAGCACCTTATGTAGTAATGCACAGTAGAGGAGTGGCTTGTATTTCATTCCTCAGTGCAGCTTTCGTTTCTGTATGTGTTTGTTACCTGTAAAGATGTTGGAGGGATTTTGCCTAGTACTCTTGAACAGTGAACAGTGTCCGACTTTTTCTTAAGTACTGCAAAGAATTAATAAAACTGTAAATCTCAACATATTGATTATAAATGGAGCAATATATATTCTTCCAGTTAAATTGGGTCAATATTAAATATGTTTTAAATATATTATATTTTGATCAAGAGCAATTTATTTTGATTGAATTTTAAATGTGGGTTTGGTTTAATTTCATGGCAATAAGTTTTTCTTAATAATGTTAAGATTGTAAAACAATTTATTATTTCCAGGGCCATATTATAAGCCAATATTTTGTTAAAGCTACAGAAAAATCTCAAATGAATTTTAGAAATATCAATAACTCTTAATTGCCACCAAAATACGATAGCTCTTAACATTTTATAGCTACAGTTATTAAGGTTGTCAAACCGCAGATATCCACATTGAAATATTTGTATTACATCTCCTTTGGTGCTATTTGGATTGGGGGATGTTGAAAGAAAGTAAAATGCTTAGGATTGAGAAGGAGCATATTAGAACTGCCATCTCTCCGTATTTTGTTACTCATTGCTGATATTCGTAGACTGATTGAAATGGTAATACTATTCCCTTGAGAGACAAAAAGACCTTTAGGGTTGCTTGTCTTAGCAGTGGTTTGAGATGGATGATTAGAATAAAGTCATGTAGTTTACAACATAGAAAATGTGTTTTCTTTTAGTGATTAGAATTTAGGAATACTTCCCAGGGTAGGTACTGAATTTACTTGAAACTTAAAAAAGGTTTTGCTGAACTTAACACCTTTTACTGAGGTTATAGCCTATTAATTATAATGCTCTTTTCAACTCTGGGAAGTGAGAGTGGGTGACTTCTGGATGTCTCATCCTCTTTATTCTCTCAGCTTGAGAGCCACTGGCCTTTCACTGGTACTAGGTTTACACTAACCAGGTACCTTTGTTTTAGCTGATACTTACTAGGAATTTCCAGCCAGGCCCTTTCCATAGCTTCTTTCAGGAACTGGACAGTCACACTTTGGATCCTGCTTTCTTTGATTTGGCTCAAGCCCTCAGGTCAGTCTTTGAATTTTTAACCATTTTTCAAACTGTATATTCCCACTTCCCACATGTTTCTGCTGCCTTCTCTGCACTGAACTGTATCTGGAGGCTGGCTCCTCAGTGGATTCCCTGGTTTTCATACCCTTTCACATCATACGGGATGAATGAGCCACTGCTTAGAAGTAAATGTTCTGTCGGTTCTTATTCATGTCAGTAGTATACAGGTCTTATAAAATATCCATTATTTTTTCATTTAAATTTTGTGCTAACATGGTTTCCATTTGGTTATGGCTTTTGGTTGTGAGGTCTAGTGCTTTCTTAAAATATACTACCACTTTGCACATTATGGGCCTGGGAGCTCCAGGTACCAAATAAAGATTTAATAGAACTAACACACTTGCAGTGTTTGATATGTGTTCCTGGTGAGCACCTACATGCTACTTGCCCAGGCTAGGCTGTGCAGCCAAGCAGCCCTGCATGGCTCAGGAGACCATACATTGTTTATGTACTTTTCCCCTTCAGGGTGACAAAGATCAGGGTGCTTGTCTCCAGTCCTTGTTACCTCTGTGTTGTTGATTCACCTCCCTGTTGACATACATGAGATCAGCCCCCATTGCTTTATCTTTGCTTCCATGTCGAGAATGCATATCTGCATTCTTGGACTGGCTTCAAGGGTTTCTGGCAAAAATGTGCAGTCTGTTAGTGGACATGGGCACAAATAGGACCTAACTAAGTGTGAAGGGAATAAGAATTCAGACTGAGGTATTTGGAAGAGACTGTGGAGGAAGTTCATCCACTACAGGGCCTTGTCTTGTTGGGTAGCTCAGATATATTAATATGGCCCTTATGATGCAAATTAACAACGTTATGTATTTGCCTCTAAGCTCTAGGTGCATCACTGAGAAGGGAAGGAATTTGCTTTGCTTTGGAGGCACATTATTTCCTCAGGGGTCTCATTTGGATTGCCTTGGAGATTGATGTGATGTCACAATGTACAGAGAGGCTGAGAACAGGGAGGGCAGGTGCGCTTCACTCTCCAGCCAGTTCTGATCTCTGGGGAGTGGTAGTCTATTCAGGGGGCTCCTAGGTTCTGTTTGGGTGGGCTGGGAAAGAGTGCTGTAATTCCTTAGTGATATCTGTAGTAGGCACGGTGGGGAACTAGCAACATTCATGCTGGGTATTTGCCAATCGACATAGTGAAACAAATGTCGGTGACTCTTGCCTCTTTGTCTGGTAATGTTCAGTACTGCTTGGTCAGGCTGTGGAGCATAGATGGTTTGCATCCTGAGTAAGAAGATGCACTCCCAGAGACTTTTTATCTCTTCTTGCTGGCAGAACTAGGGTTGGTATTTATCATTTGACTTAAACTCATTCCCCAAGCTCGTACTCTGTTTTCATCTGCCGGCAATTATTGTTTAAGTTGCTGCCCTCACAGACTGTACTTCCTTGGCAATGAGCACAGACTAGAGCAAAGCTTCCCCACCAACAGACTGATTATGTGGCATCACAGGGAGCCCCCAGTGGTGGAGATGCTGACTGAGGAAGTCTAGTGTGGGATCACCAGGCAGGACTTTCTAAAAATGTTTCCAAGTGGCTCTGATGCATTGTCAGATTTGGGAGCTAGGGATTGAAATAAGTCCATCCTACATACTTCTTTTCGGGGCTGCATCTTTTGGCTGATGCAGTTTGTATATCACTTCCTCAAACATCCTCTTTTATGTGCCCTACATAGTTGTATGTACACAGGGGAGGGCCTGGCAGGGAGCCTTAGTTAAATGCCATGTGTCATAGAGCATCTGGTTCTTGTAGGGTATGTGCATCAGTCACCTGGGGAGCACTTTCAGAAGGCAGGGGCCTGGGCTCAGCCTGGGGAGTCCGAGGCAGCAGGTGCAGGGCCGCAAGAGCTGGGTGCTGCACTTGTGTTTTGGCTGAGCTCTTGCTGACTCCGAGGGGATGTTGGTGACGTTCTTCATAGTCACAGGTCCTTGTTCAGTACGAACTATGTTCTCATTTAGGAGAGCTTTGAGGCTGTTGGAAAGCATTGTTGGTAAGGATGTTGAGGTTTGAGAATGTAATGCTTTTTTCTCTACTTCAGCCCACAGTTAGCAAATAATTGCCTTTGGGATAAATCCCCAACCTGTGCCCACCCCCATCAGGGAAACACAGTGGGGAGTTAAAAAATGGACTCTTCAGTTCTTAGTGCGTGAGTCTCTTCAGATGACCTGGTGCATTGGGCTAAGCTGCTGAGTGCACAGCCTGAGGTGGATTTGAGTTGGTTCCTCTGAATGGTTTGAAGCCTCCCTCCCCACTTTTCAACACTTCTGATGAGTCCCTATTTTTTATTGTAAAAATATGATAAGAAGAAAAAATAACTTCTGTATTTTGTTTTTATTTTCTACATGTCACTCCAGTCTTTGGTTCTGTGCATACATGTCTTTATGTAGTTATAATCATGGTCCCTCCAGTTAATTGGCTTGCCCACAGTCTTACCCTATGAAGTAGAGCTGAGGTTTGAAGTTGACTGGGCCCTGTATATTTATTTTCTTTCTTCCCTTTGTGGGATTGGGCAAAAGGTGCACTATTATAGGTATGACCACAGGGTGGTGCCAATAATCAACACATAGCTGCTCCCACCTTCATTGGACTGGAAACCAAACCAAAAACCTAAGCCTGTGAAATGGGAATTGGATGAGGATTCAGGGAGATGGCTCAGGAGTCTGGAAGGTCTGACAAATATGGGGTGGATGGGGATAGAATTTACCTCATGGTATGGTGTAACCTGAATCTGTAGTCTTGATGCCTGTTGATATAGCTGGGTTTTAATACATTTTTGATCCTAATGATTTTTCTTATGCCCTATTTTTTACCTTTCTCACATGAATAACTTTAAGTTGTAAAGGGCTGATAAAGATTCCATTCATTGTGTAAGTCTTACGGAATGTCTTCTAATAGTCTGAGATGTAATCTCCTGTGAAGATAATACTCTTGATTGTCCTCCTGCTGAACACTGGGCCGCTGCGGCCAGGGACCCGTTGGATCCTGGCTTTGGAGGGTTGGCTTGGGCACATGCACTGTTCTGAGGAGGGGGCTGTCAGCATTTCAGATGCTGAGGAGTCAAGCTAAGTAGGATGACTGTTGTGAAGAGAGTCTTGTGGATTTGGAACGTTGAGACCTAGAGGGCCTGAGCAAGGTTGGCATTGAGTGGGGGTAAGGGTGGAGTGGTCGGTACACAAGAACAGTGATGGCCGATGTGTTTGAATGCATACCACTTAGTGGTTCTTGTGGTTCCTGTTATACTGATTAATTTGTTTAATCCTTATAGTCACCCAGGAGATAGGACTTTGAGCCCAGAGAGATGAAGTCATTTGCTCAAGACAGCAGTCAGTGGAAGGGCTTGGAGAAGGCGAAGGGGTCTGAAGGTGGTTTGGGACACATGAGGCTGATCTAGCAGCTTGGTTTGCTGCAGCAGACTCGGACGAACATTGCTTCAGTGCCTGGTTTGTGCCTCCACTTGATGGGGGCCATTTCCACCACACTGTCCCATTCCTAGCCTGAAATGCTTCTAAAGGCAATGCCTTGAGAACCACCACTGTCCCAGCCTGTCTCCATTTTATTGTCTTCTGGGGACCTCTTCCTCTTCCTTTTGCCTAGCGCCTGTTTACACTGGGATTGTCCTGTCTGTCCTTCACTTGGATCCTGGTTTGCACTGGATGAGGATTCAGCAATTTTAGGTCGTGCTTCAGCAAAGGCCAATTCACATTATGTAGGTTGATTTGCTTGTACTTTTTGTTAAAAGCCTAAATTAAAAAAAAAAATCTGCCAAAATCTCAATTTAGTAAAAGTTTAAGATTTTTGTCCAGAAACCTAAATAGAATGATTTTAAGAATATTCTTATCATCTCTGAGAGTTCTTTTTTCTCAAGAAATAAGCCTGGCCAGGCACAGTGGCTCATACCTGTAATCCCAGCACTGTAGGAGGCCAAGGCAGGAGGATTGCTTGAACTCAAAAGTTCGAGACCAGCCTGGGCGACATGGTGAAACCCCACCTCTATAAGAAATAGAAAAACTTAGCTGAGTGTGGTGGTGTATGCCTATAGTCCCAGCTACCCAGGAGGCGAGACTGAGGCAGGCAGATCACTTGAGCCTGGGAGAAAAAAAAAAAAAAGAAGAAATAAGCCTATGTTGTTCTTTTTCTTTTAGGAATCTCTAAGTTGAAAGAAAAAGTTACACTCTCAAAACCCATTTATGCCTAGTGTTCCGCTATTGGAACACTAAGCATGTGGGAGTTATTTATATCCTACTGCTCAAGGTAATTGCAAAGGTCTGATTTTTCATGCATGTCTGCCTCCTGAGGGTACATGTTATCACATGATGCACAGATTTCGTCACTGCTGCAGATACTGGCATGCTGGGAGTTTATCAAAAAGTGATGGGAGTTTTTGGAAACATTTTTGAGGAAGTATGCAAAGACAGGTACATAAAACTTCACTACATTCTATTCTAGTAATTAAAAAAAACTTCTCTACTAGTTATGCTATTGTTCTGTAAAAAGAAAATACAGAAATTATTATTGTTGCATTAATTATGGGTTTGACATTTTTCATGTTCCATTTTTGGAACTCTAGGCAAAACCACTACTGCTAGGACTAATAATACCTTTTTTCCATTTTAGTCCCAAGATGCCTCGAACTCTAAGTTTACATGAAATAACTGACCTTTTAGAGACAGATGACAGCATAGAAGCAAGTGCTATAGTGATACAACCACCTGAAAATGCTACAGCACCTGTTTCTGATGAGGACTCAGGAGATGAAGAAGGTGGAACAATAAATAATCTGCCAGGTTCTTTGTTGTGTACCACTGCGTATCTTATTGAAGATGGCTCTGATGCTGAGTCTGACTCAGATGATCCCTCATACACACCTAAAGATGACTCTCCTGATGAAGTTCCGTCTACATCTACTGTGCAGCAACGTCCACCATCAAGGAGGAGGAAAATGACAAAAATTGTTTGCAAATGGAAAAAAGCTGATTTAACTGTACAGCCTGTAGCAGGTAGAGTTACAGCACCACCAAACGATTTCTTCACCAAAATGAGAACTCCCACAGAAATTCTTGAACTTTTTCTTGATGATGAGATCATCGAACTCGTTGTCAAGTATTCCAACTTATACGCTCTCAGTAAAGGTGTACATCTTGGCTTGACTAGCTCCGAATTCAAATGTTTTCTGGGAATTATTTTTCTGAGTGGTTATGTCTCAGTTCCTAGAAGGCGTATGTTTTGGGAACAAAGAACAGATGTGCATAATATACTGGTTAGTGCTGCCATGAGACGTGACCGCTTTGAAACTATATTTTCTAATTTGCATGTTGCTGATAATGCAAATTTGGATCCAGGGGACAAGTTTTCCAAGTTGCGACCTCTCATAAGCAAACTCAATGAGAGATGTATGAAGTTTGTTCCAAATGAAACATATTTCAGCTTTGATGAATTCATGGTTCCTTATTTTGGTCGTCATGGGTGCAAATACTTTATTCGGGGAAAGCCTATTCGGTTTGGCTATAAGTTTTGGTGTGGTGCCACATGTCTGGGCTACATTTGCTGGTTTCAGCCATATCAGGGTAAAAACCCAAATACTAAACATGAGGAATATGGTGTTGGTGCGTCAGTTGTCCTTCAGTTTAGTGAGGCACTTACAGAGGCACACCCTGGACAATACCATTTTGTATTCAATAACTTTTTCACCAGTATTGCACTTCTTGATAAGCTCAGTTCAATGGGACATCAGGCAACAGGTACAGTGAGAAAGGATCGCATTGACAAAGCTCCATTGGAATCAGATGTAGCCTTAATGAAAAAAGAAAGAGGCACATTCGATTATCGAATTGATGGCAAAGGTAATATTGTCTGTAGATGGAATGATAACAGTGTTGTCACTGTTGCCTCATCTGGTGCTGGTATCCATCCTCTGTGTCTTGTCAGTCGTTATTCTCAGAAACTGAAAAAGAAGATCCAAGTTCAGCAGCCAAACATGATCAAAGTGTATAACCAGTTCATGGGAGGCGTAGACAGAGCTGACGAAAATATTGATAAGTATCGGGCATCAATCCGTGGAAAGAAATGGTATTCAAGCCCTCTTTTGTTCTGTTTTGAATTGGTCTTACAAAATGCTTGGCAATTGCATAGAACATATGATGAGAAGCCAGTGGATTTTCTGGAGTTTCGTCGACGTGTGGTATGCCATTATCTGGAGACCCATGGTCATCCTCCAGAACCTGGCCAGAAAGGAAGACCTCAGAAGCGTAACACTGACTCACGTTATGATGGCATAAATCATGTGATAGTCAAACAGGGAAAGCAAACACGATGTGCTGAATGTCATAAGAACACCACTTTTCGATGTGAAAAATGTGATGTTGCCTTACATGTGAAGTGTTCTGTTGAATATCACACTGAATAGCAGCTGTCACCACATCCTGAGACAAGACAGATAATTTTATGCATTATGTACAGTGTAGCAGTGGTTTTGCCTAGTGTTCCACTTTTGGAACATTACACAATGGAACATAATAAATTTTTTTCCCTTCAAATTTTTGTTCCTTGGTTTTTTTCTAGGTAACATAAGAATTTCATGCAAAAATTTAAAAAATTGCAACCTCAGACATAAATGGGTTGAAGATGTTTTCTTAGTACATTGGCTTCCTTTAAATAACAAAGCTGAGACACAAATGCTTCCTGCTCTGCACACACCTTTCATTCTCAGCTCTGGGCATAATTGTCTGCATCAGTCTTAATTTACTCCGTGAGATCTGCACTCCTAACTGAGGGTATTTCATCTGCTCCGATGTGCCAATTAAGTTTACCCAGATAGACTATAAAAAGGCAGATAAGAAAAGTAAAATACCAAGTATCTCAATTTAGTAAATTAGACTAATCTGTGAGGGATTCTTAGCTGTCTGAAATAGAAAACCTGTTGTACTACAGAATGCAAACTATATTAAGTACCCAGCCTAGTGCCTGAATATATTTTTAAAAATCAAACTGTACTCATTGTGCCTCTGTTGTTAAATTTCTTAAATGGATATTGCAATAGGTAGAGAATGATCCTGAGGTTGAAAGGTCACTCTGTATTAAGAGTGATTTAACTGTATGGTGTGTAGTTTTTTCCTTACAGTCAGTGCAGACTGCTCTGTGTGCACTGACCGTTGCAACATAAAAATATTATGATAGAGCAGTAAAGTCTCTTGAATTTTGAGCACCTTGCTATGTGACTCCTTGAAGTTTTGGAGAGGGCATGTTTATTAATATGATCTCAGGCTACTAATATTTGACAATTCCCATTAATATGTATATTCTGTCCCTTTTGCGGGTTGGTATGGGCAATTGTGTACCTTGATTTGTCTGGTATAAAATGTATATTACGTGATTGGTCAGCCTAGATTACAGTCCAAAGAACTGCTAAACTCATTTTCCTGTTACTTGAAAAAGTTCGCAGGGGTGTATTGAAGAGTGAGTTTTGATTTACCTTGGACAATATTGATGTGGGGAAGGAATCATGTTATTGTGCAGAAATGAAGGCAGTCTTTCCCTTCTTTAAACCTTAGTCCAGATGTTTTTTTTTTTTAAGACAAAATTTGAATTGAAGTTTTAGAGTTTGGTTTGTTCTTGTGCAATTGCTTTCATTCTGTGGCAGTTAAAGAGGACCCTTCTGCCGGCACTGTGAGAAAAGGAGTGGTAATAGGGAGTTGGGAAGATACTTTTTGAGAGACAGTATTATGTAACAGATAGGAATATAGACTCTAGAACCTAATTATCTGGGTTTGAGTCTTTTCCTTAACTCGTTGGTAATCTTGGACAGCTTCCTTTATCTCTCCCTGTCTGCTTTAACTGTAAAAAAGAAAAAAAGAGAGAGAATTACAATAGTATTGATATAGTTTGGCCTTTTGTCCCCACCCAAATCTCATCTTGAATTGTAATCCCTGTGTGTCAAGGGAGTAATGTGATGAGAGGTGATTCGATTATGGGGGTGGTGTTCCGCCATGCTGTTCTCAATATAGTGAGTTTTCACGAGAGCTTATGCTTTAGTAGTGGAAGTTTTTCCTGTGCTTGCACTCACTTCCTCCTGCCACCCTGTGAAGAAGGTGCCCTTCACCTTCTGCCATGATTGTAAGTTTCCTGAGGCTCCTCAGCCGTGCTGAATTGTGAGTCAACTAAACCTCTTTCCCTTATAAATTACCTAGTCTTGGGTATTTCTTTATAGCAGTGAAATGGACTGTGAAAATGGACTCATGCATACAGTGTCTACCTTATTAGGTTGTAAGGATTAATAAATGTGAAATAATTAAAATAGTGCCCAGCACACAGTGTCACTATCAGTCATAATTACTATTTGCTTTCTGAACCAATTAAAAAATATGTATGTATGTGTATATATATATAATCTCAAAACAAAACTTGTCCAGAGCTAGCTGACTTTCCTTAAGGAGGCAGTATATAGCATAGGGGATAGATGCCACGGGCCATGGAGTGAGTGCCAGAACCTCACCTAGTAGCTTTGAGGTCTTGTGTATCCTCTCTGTAAGGTGGGGATCATAGCAGTATCTTCTTCACGCGTGATGATACATGTAAGATATTTGGCATATATCAGACACTTGGTAAATGTTAGCTATTCTTGTTACTCACATGCCCACGAGCTAAAAGTTATGACAAAGATTCCACCAAGCCAGTAAGATGTTTGAAATGAGGGTCTGTGAGAACCGTAAAGGAGGGTGTATAAATATTGATATATATGAAAAGATGACCTTTCACAAGTAAAGGTAGTTTTAACAATTGATATTACAGGTTGATCATCCCTAGTCCGAAAATCCAAAATCTGAAAATTTTTGAGCAACATGCTACAAGTGGAAAATTCCATATTTGACCTCATATGTTGGGTCTCAGTCAAAACAGTCAGAACTTTGTTTCATGCACAAAATGTTGTATAAAATTACCTTCAGGCTGTGTGTATGAAACATATGAAACGTAAATGAATTCATGTTTAGTCTTGGGTCCCATCCCAACATATCTCATTGTGTATATGCAAATGTTCCAAAATCCAGAACACTTCTGGTCCCAGGCATTTTGGATAAGGGTTATTCAGCCTATAATAGGCATAGTAAAATCATTAGCTATTACAAACTTTGTTTTATTGATATTATATTTGGTATATTTTGAAATGAAAAGTTTATTTGGTAACTTTCATTTTTGTTAATAAGCTTAAGGCCCACTTAATGATAAATATCTATAAAAATATAAGTACCATGTCAAGATTGGGAAGAAATATAATTATTTCTCCTTTGAGCACACTAGGGGGCACTAGACATCTGTCTAGGGGATGTCTAGAACCTGCAACATGCCCCTTGGTTCTAAGTGTAGGTAGGTCATGATTGCAGTGTGGTTTCTCACAGTTGTATTCTAAGGTAGATGTACCAGATCATTCTCTATATCTCTTCTGTGTCTTTTCTTTTGGCTTGATTTCCAGACTTTCTGCTGTCCTGGATAATAGGATGTCCTCACTGGAATGTCCTATCAATCTTGGCTGACCAGTATAGAGTGAGCTAGCATGACAGTCTTCTATGTTTGGGGCCTGAACTGAGCTCCTGCTGGCCCAAGATTGCATGAGGTGTTTTGATATTTGTTATTTTTTATTCACATTTAACCTGTAATTAATATTTATCAACCTTTTTGTGTAATCTGCCAACTATTACAAGATAGCATCTGAAATATATGTAGTTTCCAAAGTATAGTGTATGTACATTATTTCATTTAGTTCTCATAAAAAGTCATTTGGCTCATTTTGTGGTCAAGGAGGCAGATTCAATAATGTTACATGATGTTTTCTAAAATTCAGACCTCCCCTTACCAGTTAAAGGCCTGTAATGCACCTCTTTTGCCTACATTCAGTTTTCAGCTCTCTGTAGTTACCTTAAATCTGTGTCTGTTGCTGGGTTCTCCTCTAGGGGCCACCACCGGAGCCCGACAGGGGCTTTAGGAGAGTTAGAAAATGCCCTGATGGGTCGGGCATGGTAGCTCATGCCTGCAGTCCCAGCACTGTGGGAGGCAAGGCAGGTAGGTCACTTGAGGTCAGGAGTTTGAGACCAGCCTGGCCAAAAAGGCGAAGCCTATCTCTACCAAAAAACATAAAAATTAGCCAGACATGTTGGCGCATACCTGTAGTCCCAGCTACTCTGGATGCTGAGGCATGAGGATTGCTTGAACCTGAAAAGTATAGGTTGCAATGAGCCAAGTTTGTGCCACTGCATTCCAGCCGAGGTGACAGAGTGAGACGCTATTTTAAAAAGAAAAAAGAATATGCCTCGATGAGCAAGACACTTACTTTGTTTTATTTGGTTGCAACTGTGACTTTTTCATGTATAGATTAAAGAAAAAATGAAAGTGGGAACATCAAAAACACTATTTCCTTCTTAGTAATGTAAATATAGCTTAGGGCTAGACTTCTTTCACATCATAAGAATTCTTTAAAGAAGGTGCTTCTTTTGCCCAGCCTTTCCCACGTGGTCCTGGGGAAGGTTGAGACCAAACTCGGGGCTCTTGGTTCGTCCTATCAGCTGGTGTGCAGAAACCAAGCTCCTTACAGAGCAGACCTACTTGTGGTGAACCCAAAAAATGGAGCTCAGACTTAAATCACTCACACAATTTTTATTTATTTACCTTTACATTATTCAAGACAATGAGCTTTCTTCCTCCTCCTCTCTCTCTTTTTTTTTGTTATAAGATTCTAAATTAAGAGCTTCTCTGATGTTTCAGCCACCCTGTGTTATGGGTCATTTTTTATAGTGGACCATAACCAGCTTTATCTGGTGGACAGAGAGCTAAGAGCAGTGCTTTAAAGTCATATGGGTAGAAGGAGCAGGAAATGGAACAAGAAGTAGGCTCTAAATGAGATAGAAAGTTTCCAGAACCCATTTCTGGACGACCTCATTTGACCATTTTCAAGCCATGCTTCTCTGTCTCTATCTTCCTTATCCCTAACCCAATTCTAAACTTCATTTGTTCAGCACTATTGTCTGCCATGAGGAGGCATTATACTAGTCTCTAGTGCTGGAAAAATGTCTAAGATAATGTCTGTCCCCAGGCGGTTTCCAGTCCAGTGTAGGGTACTGGTATGGATTTCACAATATGCTACACTTGATGGGCATTGTAGTAGACATCCCAGGTATGTCCAAGATGTCACCGGGTTAGGAGGGCTCTTAGAAGACAGGACACTTAAGTCTGGCTGGTCAGGGGAGGTGTCTGTGAGAGGTGATTTTGCATTATTGAGGGTCTGAAAGGTCTTCTGAGTGGGTGGATATGTGTGTTAGGAGAAGGATTTGGGGACAGGTGCACAGAGATGAGGAGGCTGCATACATGGTATGGCGCAGTGGTAGCTAGCTTTGTCTTTCCACTTATTTATTTTGAACATCCTTGGAATGCTGGAAATTCTTCTAAAATGAATTAACTTTAAATGACAGCAGCTAGCTTTCAGGGTTCCATTGACAAGGCACCCTAATAGGTTACAACTGGAGGAAGCGTTGTTCCTGGTGTAGTTCAACTGGCTGTGCTGGGTCTGAGTTGCTTCTGACAGATGATTATTGCAGTCTCAGCCCCAGGCCCCACAGCCTGGGCCAGATTCTCATTCCTACA